GTGTCTGGAGCCTCTTCCTCAGGCTTAATCTGCCACCCTGCTTCGCAAGGCAAGCGGTGCCTTCCCACGAACCTGGTGCAATTATAATTCAGCCCCTTCTGCACATAGGCCAGGGTCCTTCCCCATCCCTGTTCACAGGCTCCCTGGACTCACATTGCTTGGCTACACGGGAGCAAGGGGGGCAGGCATCGGCTGCTGATCTGCTGCTTAAACCCCTCCAGAACCCGTCTGTCTCCATCCCTCACCTTCCCCATTCTGATCTGCTGATCTGCTGCTTAAACCCCTCCAGAACCCGTCTGTCTCCATCCCTCACCTTCCCCATCCTGATCTGCTGATCTGCTGCTTAAACCCCTCCAGAACCTGTCTGTCTCTGTCCCTCACCCTTCCCATCCTGAGCAAGCGGCACCTAAGGGATGCACCTTGAAGGGAGCGCCCCGACAGGGGTAACGTACATGGTGTTTATGGAGCACGGGGGTTTGAATAAGCATTTCCTTAAGCAAATCCACATGTGGCATCCCTGGCTGAACTGCCGCTCTCCGTAACCGCCTGGCCATGGGTGGAATTGCCCTGCGGCACCGTTAGTTGCAGACCCTGGAGGGCAAAGCACGCAGGGAGCATCTCAGGCCTCGAAGTCGCTGCTTTAGGTAGCGTTTTATCCCGTCTGCTCATGCAACGCACAACTCTGCTTGAAGAGCAGGGGCATACAAACATCAAGACCTTTGAGGAAGGGGTCATGTCCCCTCAGCAGAGCACAAAGAGAAGCCAGCACACAAGTAAAGGGGAGAGACATGTCAGCAACCCTCAGCAGGAGCCAGGAAGGTCTGGTAGGATGGGAAGGGTCTGCCGGGTCAGCATCCTGGTGGTCAAACAAAACACCTTGCTCGTGCCTCCTCTGGGAGGGGATGGCAGCCGCTTTGTTGTGTGCTCCGTCCCTGTTCAGATGGTCTCATTGATTGCTCCGCCGTGGATGAAGACCACAGGCTTCGCTAAAACTTTTGACAGAACAAATTAACCAGGCCAGCTCCAGCCCACAATGCAGGGCATGATATCGATGGGCCATTTGAAAAGGAAAATTCACTCCAGTTTGAGGACGATTATGGAAATAATAACACACAATCAGTGTCCATTAACACTGTCAGCAGGGCTGCGGATCGATAGCGTATTAATGGCTGAAGAAAGACCAGCAGTTAAGACCAGCACAATAGCAGAGGGAGAAGAGATGGCAGTGGGCGGGTGTAATCGAGCCCAGGCACTGGATGTCTTTGCACAGCCTGCCCAGGGGAACCCCTGTCACCGCCACTTTCTGAACATGTCCCCTGGCTGCTTGCTTGGAAGCCTCCTTCTCCTCCTCCTCCATACCTCAGCCCTTCCCAGCTGCTTTGGGCAAAGGGTGCCCAGGCCCTGCAGGGAACCTCCCCAGCTGAAGCTGCCTGGTATGGCTTAGCCTGATTCGCCCCCAACTGGACAGGCTGGGAGAGTTGGGGGTGTTCAGCCTGGAGAAGAGAAGGCTGCGGGCAGAGCTGAGTGCGGCCGGTCAGGGCTTAAAGGGGGCCCAGAGGAAAGGGGGGGACAAGCTTTTTAGTAGGGCCAGCTGGGACAGGACAAGGGGGGATGGTTTTGAACTAAAACAGGGTAGGTTTAGACTGGATCTAAGGAAGAAATTCTTTCCACTGAGGGTGGTGCAACCCTGGCAGGGGTTGCCCAGAGAGGGGGTGGAGGCCCCATCCCTGGGAACATTCCAGGCCAGGTTGGCCGGGGCTGTGAGCACCCTGATGTGGTTAGCGGTGTCCCGGCTCCCTGCAGGGGGGTTGGGCTGGATGGGCTCTAGAGGTCCCTTCCAACCCAAAACATTCTATGATTCTATGATTTTAACACAAGGCCAGGCTAGTCCCATAGCAGAGAGGGAGGCGATGCAGAAGCCCCCACGGATAGCTGAGGAGCAAAGCGCATCCATGGTCCCAGGTCTCCTACCACTTCTTGGACTTCTCTCTTGCTCCTCCCGTTGACTCTTCCAACATGGTGTAGCAACTCTGTGCTACCACAAGGCTGTCCTAAAGCAAAAGCCACCATGAAGCCCTCCCTGCATGCCGACGCTAAGGGTTACAACCCTAAGCAAGACACATCTCCACCGAGGCTCTTTTGCTCTCATGCAGCAGTGTTCTCACTGCAGCCCAAACCATGCACATTTTAAAATAAATAAATAAATACATTTTCTGCTTACTGTACTCCTGGCCTAAATTTGCAGCAAGGAACATGTCATATTTTACCAGCAAAATGTCTCTTGACTCCTTTGGTATCTGTACACTGATCATGATTAAAACACAAATATCAACCCACCCATGAAAGAAACACAGCCGCTTCCGAGATACGCAAAGCAACCACGTCTAGCCCTACACAACACTCCATAGCACTCCTGAGCAAGAAGAGAAGAATATAATTTTCAATGGGAAGTGCACAGAGAAATGACAGAGTTGTGGGAAGTAATCACAGAGCATGAAACTTGGCGACTTAAAATAGCATGGGATTTTTTTTTTTTTTTTCACTTGGAAGAGACCGAGACTATGTCTTTACATCTCCGGCTGATTGCATCTCCAGAAACAGAGTTTCCTTTTGTAAAGCTCAGCCACGATGATTTGCAAGGCCTTAAAATAACTTTTTGCTTAATCAATGTCACTTCCTTGAAGCATCTCTGTGGTTTCGTTTCTTTTGGAAAAATGTCAGCAACAAAATCACGTGAGGTGTCACGAACAGCGGGTACACCCCCCAGCATCTGCAACGCCTGCTCCCAAGACCTTCGTTCGATTTAAAACTAAAGAGGTATTGTGTGCTTTTTCTAAAGTATCAGAGCCACCAGATCACCAATCTGGTGCCACCAGAGCTACCCAATCCCCAACTCCACCGCCTGCAGCAGCTCACTAGTTTTCCCAGGTGTTCCCCAAATTTTCTTACCTAGGTCCACTGAACTGCAGAGGACCAAGCAGCAGAGCAAAATCTTGGTTTGACAGGAATCAAGGGACAGATTTTACACACACACACAACGTTACGGTGGCATAAACTCTGCGTAAGTGCCCAACTCATGCACATGGAGTTTGTACAGGTGACTCCATGCCAGCACCATGGAGTAGGTTGTCCTCAAATCTTTAAGGGCTTCAGATAGGGTGACAGTCAGAGCCTGCACTTCTGCAATACTGGCCTGGAAGCTTCCAGCTTTGGTTAGGAAACAGGAAAAAAAAAGCATGTCTGTCTCGTAATGGCCATAAAAGAGACTTTATCATCCTTCCCAACCCATTTCCCACTGTGCCAGCTTCAAAGCCCACGTTCTATCCCTAAATCTTGCTGCAAAACCCAATGAGCCACAGAGCCACGCTCAGGTGAGGCGATCCTGCCAAGCTGCACTGCACTTAAAAACCCGTTTCTTGTCTGGTTGCTGCTTAAAGCTCTTAAGCATTTTAGGGGAAAATGAAGCAAGCAGCTTGGGGGAGAAAACAAGCATCCTCTATTCTGGAGACCCCTGACAGATTGACTTTTGTCAGCTGGTAAATACCCGAAAATGAGTCCAGTCAGAGAAGAGAGGGCTGCAAAAAGAGGAACTCAGTCGGACATGGGCAGCACAGACACTCGCTTATCCTGCCCATGGGCTGCAGGAACAGCCCCCAGAGCCAGCACCACGCTCCTTGGCAGGTTTGCTTCCTTGCCTCCCCCACCAGGTCTCCAGTCTCCTGAGTCAATCTCCAGCTGTTCCACCACCCTCTGAAGGAGAATGAATAGCTACAGGCACCCATAAAACATGCTGATCCTCTGGCCTTTGTAAGCCCTCATGCCCTCCGCTTCCAGCGTGCCCATCACCAGGAGCCCCTGAGCAGCGGGTGCACAGGAGAGCCCACCCGGCCTCGGGCAGATGAGGGTCAGCCGCTCGTCATGCGTTTTGTGCTTCTGCTCTCCTGCTCCATCGCAGCACGCAGGAGCTACTGAAGCTGCACATCCCCTCCCAGCCAGGAAAACTGCCTTTCACGGGCATGCTGCACCTTGTCGGCACGGGGAATAAAGCCGAACAGGCAAAGGCCCCAGGATCTGCTGCTAATAACCTCTGCAAGCAAATGGGCTTCGCTCGAACGGTCGCGAGGGTTTTGCTCCTCTCCTCTTTTCCCTGAATTCAAGATCAGCTCATGCCCAAAGTATGCTTGCTCCACTTCCTTTCCTTTTTTATGCTTTAAGCCACTTTGGTGCAGCAGTGACTCTTCAACAGAGGTCCACGCGCACAAATCTATAAACCAGCATACTTTGAAACTCAGCTTCTTGTTTCATTGCCGGACCATTTAACACAGGAGATGAAAGGGGAGCACAACACAGACACTTCATCCCTTCAAAAGGGAGAAAAAAACGTCAATTTGCTAATCGCCTGTTGACTAGATTAGCAGCAAAGGTGCATGAACTCTAATCAATGAATAACTACAGGCTCCTTTTCATATCAAAAGGGGAAAAACCCATCAGGCAACAGCTGTGGCTCCTGAATCGTGAAAAATAAGGAAAGGCAGAGGGAGTGGTTTCAAACTGGGTTCCCCGGCTGGCAGGATGCTCCAGACTTTGCTGGTGAGGACTCCACCAGTGTCACACGTACGTGCTAAAACCCACCCCTGGAAACGCAGGAGGAGAGACAGATTCAAGCTCCGAGTATGCTAAAAGTAATAGGCAAGAAAAAGAACAAAACCCAGACCAGTATGCAATCAGAGTGCACCAACACAGGCTGGGGCAGAACAGGAGTATTTCCATGAAACTTCAGCTGAGGCCCAAGTTCTTCAATGCCGAGGTGGAAACTGAGGTCTGGTGAGCAAGAGAATCATAGGCGGTCGGGGGAGAGGACTTCTCTCTGCATGGAGAGCCAAAGGGGACATTGGCTGCTAACCCCAGAGGGTGGGCGTGTGGCTGTGGGCTCACAAAGCGAGGCACTTGGGGCTTTGACTAGCCGGTGCCCCAGCAATCCTGCAGACCTCCCTGCCCACCTGACCGAAGCAGCTCCGCCATGGTCAGACAAGCTCCTGCAAGGGCACAGAGCTCAGTGCAGACCGGAAAGCTCATCTAAGAAGCTGGGTAAACACTCAGGCACTGCATCTATGCTAAATTCTCACCTATCACGGCTCTGCTGCTTCCAGGGCCCCATTAGCCGGCTGGGAGGGAGCTGGGGATGCGAGGGCAATCACGCCATGATGGCAATGCAAACATTCCCTCTACGCAGGAGAGGAAAGATTCAACAAATGGCCATGTTTACCTGCTGCTATACCCAGCCTCCACAGAAAGTGAAAGGCTATTTCAATTGTGAAACGGAGCAGGGGTGGGGGGGAAATCACTGCAGGAGCCAGCGGGTGTAAGAGCCAGAAGAAAGAGACTGAAATAAAATTTCACTGAAAGCCTGTTTTGTTCTCACCATAGTTTGAAAGAGCTGGAAATACAAATGCTACCCTTAATTCAAAAGTATCTAAAATCCCATTTTGCTACTGAAAAGTGGTGGGCAGCAGGGACTCGTCTCTGAAGCTCTATGCACAGTGGTACCCATCCCACTGGCACCCCAAGTCCCCTGCAGGAAAGTCACTTCCCAGGGGATGAAAGCTATGATATAGTTGCCATCTCTTGTCATCTTGACATGGTGGGATGACTGGCACAACTGGAGCGCTGCAACTGAGGGCTATTAACCCTTCAGAGGGGACAGGCAAGGAAGGAGAGGTGGTGGGGCAGCCCTGTATGTTTGGGAGTGGTTTGATTGTCTTGAGCTTAACGATGGTGATGACAGGGTTGAGTGTTTATGGGTAAGAATCAGGGGGAAGGCCAACGAGGCAGAATCATGGTGGGAGTCTGTTATAGAACACCCAACCAGGATGAAGAGGCACATGAAATATTCTATAAGCAGCTGGGAGAAGTCTCGCAATCGCTAGCCCTTGCTATCATGGGGGACTTCAACTTACCAGATGTCTGCTGGTAATACAGTACAGCAGAGAGGAGACAGTCTAGGAGGTTCCTGGCGTGTGTGGAAAACAACTTCCCGAGACAGTTGCACCAGAGGAGGTTTAGATTGGATATTAGGAAAAAGTTTTTCACAGAAAGGGTTGTCAAGCATTGGAAGGGGCTGCCCAGGGAAGTGGTCAAGACCCCATCCCTGGAGGTATTTAAAAGAGGTGTAGATGAGATGCTCAGGGACATGGTTTAGTGGTGGGATGGCAGGGTTAGGTTAATGGTTGGACTTGATGACCTTAAAGGCCTTTTCCAACCTAAACAATTCTGTGATTTTATACAGCATGGTGGCTGCACGAGTCTCAGCCCCAAGCCACTTGGTGGGGGCAGGCAACCGCGGCACAGAGCCCAGCACAACCACTCACCGGCAACCCTGGCAGAGATGCCAAGGACCCAGGGGACAGCAAAGATTTGGCACCCCTCTGCTGGGTGCTTACCGGCTCCCAGCAAGAGCAGGATTACAGACAGGGGTGCTGCTGGTGATACAGGGATGCTGCTGGTGACGTAGCCCCTCGATGGAAAGAAGACTTGGTGCTCAAGTGGGTTCCCATAGAGGCCCTCACAAAACACTGATGCTTTTATCCCCCGAGTAGTGCTGTTAGATGGGGAAATGCTGCTATTGCACGCTGCCAGCTGGGGAAGATAAAGAAATTAAATAGCTTGTCCACCACTGGGCACGAAGCCTGAAGCACGGCCAGGGATCAAGCCGTACCTAATTCCAGTCTAGCGCCTTACAATACAAAGGCCAAACTTTAGCCTCCAACACTGCCTACTACAGCCCTAAAAATTCACATTCACAGTGAGCAGACAACACAGAAGGGTTTACTCAAGAAAAACTGTTTTCCTCTGGATTTTCTCCCGTATCCCTTTTCACCAGCACAAGGAACTCGAGCCTGAAAACTACTGCCAGCAAACAAAATGACCTTGAGAGGGAAAAGCAAATACAACAGCTCGACTCCACCCCAAAGGAAGAGAAAGAGCACCGAAAGGAAATGCCAGCAAATTGTCAGCCAAGCCGAGGTGATGGGGGCTGTGTGACCCCCCTGGAAATCAAGCCAAATAATATTTTCTCTTGAAAGCATCCTTTACATCCCTGCAGTGCCTTTGGTGTGCAGCGTCCTAGAAAGTCCCCAGTTCTTTCCCTCTGGAGGACCAATAATTAATAACCACAACCTGGCAGACAAGCGAGCGATTCCCTCTGGTTCCGATAAGAGGAGCTGACATCTCTCGAACCCCAGCCACCTCCATTGTTTTATTCTCTTTGTTTATTGATCCTTTTATGCACATAATGCAAATTGACATTTCATAATTCAGCCGAGTTAATGGTGCTTAAATATTAAAAGGCTTTTCTCTTTTAATTAGCTGTAGCAAAACAGGCAACAAAGGAGTGCTAGATAGATGCCACTTAAAATGCTCTCGTCCAAGTTCTCCGGCATTTTTCTAGGGATGGGAAAGACCAGTTCAAGGGAAATTTTGTACAAGCCTCCTACCCACACTAGGAAGGTAACTAACCCATAGAAGCGTTTCCAGAGGCTTTGATTCATCGAGCATGTTCATCTCTGCCAGTTCTTTGTCTTCTCCCCCTCCTGTTCTTCTCCTATTAAAGACAGAGGGGAGGGGAAGAAGGGGCAGAGGGTAGAAGAAAAATCCTTCCCTGTAAGAAGGGAAGACCTGCCTAACACAGTGCAGATGCAGATGCAGATGCAGAAGCCTTCCGAAAAGTCATTGCAAGACCTGCAGCCCGGTGAAAACGGAGCTAAAAGGAAAAAGTACACGTAGCTAACTGAAGAGTTACCAACAGTACAGAAATCTTGCAATTATTTCCTGGGGCAAGAGTAAGTAATCCAGGAAAATAATTGAAGATCATACTGGGAAAAAAAAATTTCCAGATCTAGGAGGGCAAGGGAACACACATTGATTTCTCTTCTGTTCGTTATGCCGAGAGTTGAGAACGAGAGGGAAAATACATGTCATCTTTAAACCTCTGTGTCATCTCAGCTGGAGCCAGCAGCAGTAATACATCTTAGTCACAACGTGGCTGGTGTATGACAGGACAACTGTGAAGAGTTGGTGTTATTTGGGCTCTTTTAATTGTGCATACCTCCTCTCTTAATTAGCTCCCATTTTAAGTCTTGGGTTGGTTTGAGATAATCATCTCCCACCTGACCCAGAGCAGAACCATGTAGTCACAACAATTAGATATAGTAACTGTTAATAACTTAGTTTAATTACAACCTATTTTCTTCAAATCTAGCCTAGACGTAAGATTTCAATGAATTTTAATTACATGCCACGTTTGAAGAGCCTGTGCTATTGCATTATTAAGTTAATTTCAGACAAAGAGAGAGACTGACAAACACTAAATTCCTGGCTGAGGACACTTAAAAAAAAATTAATCTTAATTCAAGCCAATTAATAGATTGACTTGCAAATTCTCTGCAAATTCATTTTTCTAGTGAGGACCAAGTACTGTAAATCTGTAGAGGGGAAGCTGCATTTTTCCCCACCTAACGAAGAGCTCACATTCCCAGTTTCCGTGCAGGGTTGAGCTCCTCCGTAACAGCAGGACAGCCAGGTGCCGCTCCACCCAACACTGAAGCCACCGCGCTGAACCTGCCTGGCATCCTGGCAAAGGCCGTCCCCACCTGCAATGTCACCCAGGGACTTCAGGCTCATGGAGAGGGCAGAGCACCAGCTCTTCTTCCCAGAAGGGATGGAAGCATCTTCTTCCTTCTTCACCACCAGCAACCCCCCACGCACACAGGAGAGGGCAGTGGTGCACACACCGGAGTCAGCCCGTTCTACTTTTACGACTGATTTTAAGGTGAGGAAATTCGGATGCAAGAACTCCTACTTCATCTACCCCACCACCACCACCACCCTTGCAGGCAAATTCCAGAGGGGAGGGTCTTTCACAACCTCTCAGACTCGGGGTGCCCCCTGCCAGTTGCTTTGGGCAGAACATGGGGAACCCTTCAGTGCCTCTGTAAGGCTCTGCCCGCAGGGAGTGTTTTCCGTCGCTCCGCATCTGCTGCACGCCGCTCACGCAGCGAAATATTCTTGACGCCACAACAAACAGTTTGCATTGTTTCCCTTTAACAGATGATCCGTCTACTCCCCTCCAGCTGTGCAACACATCTGGCCACCCTGCCTCTCCTGGGTAGGTACTCCTCAGCCCAATATTCTGCTTATTGCTGCTCGGGAGACTCAGGAGGTGATGGGGGAGTAAATGCCCAGTGGACAAGTTGTATCTCCAGGAGTTTTCAGAGGCAATAAACCACAAACCTGTTTCCAGCCTCTTCAGCACAGAGTTACCAGCTTTGGCCTTCTGGGGTCTCCCCTCCGCCTGCAGCTCTTCTCAGTAAGACAGGGCCACTCGGGGGGGGGTGTGTATGTGTGATTAGGTAACCCAGCATTCCAAGGCTATTCCCACAAATGGGACGGGCTTTGGGCTGCTATTGCAAAGAGTTCTGCTCAACCACAAGCGCTAGGTGTTGGTCTGAGGAGCATCCCCCAACCCCTGCAAAAGGAGAGAAGCTCTGGCATTGCCATGTCCTGGCTACGTCGGTGGAGTTCGTTCTGATAAACAGCTGTGGCAGCTCCAATAATTAATCTGTCTGGGGGAAGGAAAAAAAAGAAAAGAAAAAAAAAAGAGGGAAAAAGGAAAATGGACTAGTAAAGAGGTTTGAAAAAAAGAATAAATACCCTCATTACAGCTGAAACACAGGCAAGAAGCAGCAAGGCAGGCTGATGCTGGCTTGGCCGCTCTCTGGTGAGAGACTGATAGCAATGAACTTGGGAGCAAAAGTTCCACAAAGCAAGGTTAGGAATTTATTACTCTGCATCTGTGCGGAGTCCAAAGATCGTCTGAAACACCAGAGACTTGCAGAGGAAATTGGGGAAGCGCTAATGCACATGGGACGGTGTTTAAAATAATTTCTCAGCCGGCTGACTGCACAGGGGGTAGGGACAGAGATTAATTCTCTACCCGAGATCATGCATTTGTGCAAACACCGTTG